TAATAAGTCAAAAACCCGAGCCTCACCTTGATTTTGCGCCACAGTCGAAGTACTAAAACAATTAAGTGGAGTATATGTGACATTAAGGGTAAGTTGATTTAAAATCGATGATATTACTTCAAAAGGGAGACCTGCGTTGCGACCTTGTTCTTCCAATACATCATTCATCTGAAGAAGAATAGGCTGCAAAATAAGGTTACGAAACTTCTGAAATTTTATTTTAAGCTTAATATATTCTAGCATAAATTAAACTTTGCTTCACAGCTGTTAGATTTTAGTTGTTATTATGTCATGCAACTATGTTATATGACTAAATTCTCCTTACTTACAGCTCTCATCAGTAGATTATGCACGAATGTTTGAGCTTGCATAGCGTTCCGTTGAACACTTGGAAAAAGAGAGCGAGCAGTGTCCACAACGTAAACCATCGGCAGTGCTAACGTAAAGCCGCTCACGTTGAATCTCAAAATTCTTTCTGCAAAATGTTTATCCTAGAATTTGACGGCCATTTTACTACAAAAATTCAATGTAAAAGGAGCAGACCAAGGTTCAGGAAAAAACCACTGAACCGTTAGCTTTGTAGAACGACCAATAAACTAACGGGTAGAAATACGGTTAGATAGTGAGATGTTTATCTTCAGCATTGGTTCGATAATATTACTTAATTTCGTAAAGCATTTTGTGAGAAGTGTTTCAATCTTCTAAGAACATCATTGCTTTTGCTTCCAAATTTGTCGAAGGAAGATTACCTTGCCCTGGTAGAAGTGGACCACATCCAGCCACTGTGGAAGTTACAAATAAACAAATAAAGAGCGTAGTCTTCATAATCACTACGATGAAACTCATTGGAATAACCATTTTCGCTGGTTATCAACGTTACCGACCTAAATAATCAACATGAGGTACAGAATAGTGGCTTAATTCATCGTAAAATCCACATAGAAACTGTTAAAAATCGAACCATTAGGCATAAGCTATTCTCATTGAATATTTAAGGACTAGCCATATATTTGAGGAAAAACTTTTTTCGTTTAACAAAACTTAGTGCTCTGTTTAAATATCGATTGACATATGGAAGCAAAAATCACTAAAGATGCGTAATCGAGTGCAGCCCTAGATCTCAGATTTTGAGATAAGCTCGGCATCATTGACGATATAAGAACATTATTACAACCTGTTAATGTTGATAAAGAATAAAAATACGTTGAAAGAATACATATTAAGTAATATACGAATGCATATTGTTTGCTGTAATGAGGACGATGTGGACTATGCAGTGATATTTATCGTAAGAAATTTATTCATAGCTGTTTTATTCAAAACATTGAAGGAAAGCATAGCATGCAGTGAGGGTAATCAGATTCATGTGCTGTACCGTAGTTACACGAAGCTCAGAAGAGTGCTAAGAGAAAAGGTGAGATTATCATTGATATGATAAATGGATATCGTTGAACCACTAGAGGAAAAAGCTATAAGACAATTTAAAAATTGTTGGTTCAATTAAAGGATTGTTGACTTTCAGTCACATTTTATGCCATTCATTTCTAATTATTAACAAAATTTTTGGAATGTTAATAATATGTGCGACACTCATATGACTCAATTTCATTAATCTGCAAGATTGCAGAACAGCAGATGTAATTGTGCTATCCATAACGAAGCATTAGAAACTTTACAATGTCTGTAATTATGCTTAGTTGACCGCAAAAGTTGGACCCTCAGGCAAGACTTCAGAATGCACTTACAGCTATGCCGTCTGCATGGCAGGTGCCAAGGTTTGCCGTCCACTCACCTTTATTACAGATATTATAACATTATTAACAAAATAGGAATGCAATTATAATTGTATATACATTTTTCGATGCTTCAATCTAATAAATTACCTGTATAAAAATGAAATACACAAAATGTTTCTAGTCGATTATGCTTTAAATAGAAGCGTGACCGTTTAAACCGAAATAAGGGAAATGAAGTTTTCCGTGTTCCTCAGTATTCATAAATCCTGTTTTCTCGTTACATTTTTCTAGTGATTCTCAGAGTCTGAGTCACTGAGGAATTTCATGCAAAGCTCAGTTTTGAAGAACTGTGTTTTTCAACACTTTGAAAGGTTTTCTTGATATCTGAATACATTCAGCCGGTCAAATTTGCAGCATGGTCATTATCGCGTTGGTTTTTCTTCTGCAATCAAGCAGAACTTCTTCATAGGTGAATAATGGCTAATATTTTCGTGATAACCGTCAAATGAATAATTTTGTTAGGGAATAGACCAAAACCTTTTTTATTGCCTAGAAGTGTTGGATAGCAGAAGCAATTGTAGTAAGGTATCTCCCTAAGTGGTAGGGGTGATAGAGTGACTCGCACCCCGAATTAGTTCGCGGTGTCCTTCACGCCCTCCAAGTCCCCATCCCTCCGGGCTTCGTGAATTTGTACTAGAAAGTCTGGTTTGAACAACTAGCGCTGATTTGATGAAGACCGGTGAATTCGAATCACAAAATAAACCATTTTCGCATTCAACCTCCTGCATGATATGAAGTTGAACACAAATGCGTAGGCACATTTCGCCACAAGGTATTGATCAACACTACGGC